CTTTCAGTCAGTTCGCTAGGGGTGTTTGACAAAGAATGCCATACATTTGTAAAAATGCTAAATGAGTTAGGACTGGATAATCAACACCAACAATATTGTATCAGAAAAATGATATCTATTGCCATCCGATCAACGTACTGCATATTTTGCTGTAGAAATAAAGAATGGACAAATCCCGAACTAATGAACATTTAAAGTAACTATTTCTATAAATAATTAAAAATTTTTGTATATAAAACTATAACCATGTATAAGTGATTCAAGTAGTCAATTGTAGGTTACCTCAAGAAGTGAGATTTACAATTGTATATATCTATAAATGTTCTATTAATAAAGTTTTTATTATTATTATTATTATTATTATTATTATTATTATTATTATTATTATTATAGGAAGTAGAAAGAACGGAAGAATTTGAATCAGTGGTCAGGCGAGCGCCGAGAGGAGCACAGAACCTACATGTTAGTTGATCTTAGTTTGTCTTTTTATTTTACCTGGACAAAAGCTGCAGTGTTTGATAAAGTAGATCTAAAGGTATTCAGTTGTTTTTCTTTTAGTAAAGAACTTCTATATTTGTAGAAATTTTCCAGACATATTAAGAGGCTCGTATCGAAAGAGGAACCCGAGGTCAATACAGCAGACAAAGAAGCGATGGATTTACAAAATACACTGAGAAATGCACAAACATACTACTCACTACATCCTACAGACAAAGCACATCAGCCCCATGTTAGCGCAATATTCAGCGAGCCAGAAGATAAACCGAAGAAAAGCGTTCGAGAATTTCACGTCGTTGAGACAGAGAACCCACATCATACGTCTGTAGTTCGTGTTCAGCCACCCACTGATGATTCAAACACGTATTCTGTAAAGACTGAAAGTGGAGTGTAGGATGGATAACGTTTAGCATAGAGAAACTCATAATATACGCAAAATTGGAAGTATATATATATATTGTTGCAGCCTACAAATTTATTTAAAAATACACATCATCACTCTACTGTTTGTTTTCCCATACTTATCTTAGTAACAATAAAATAGAATTCATTCTGGACAGTCGCTGTGTTTATATGTAAATTTTAACTGAATTTAATTTGATTAAGTTGCCGAGAAATTGTTGCCGGGCAGAAATTGTCGGAAGAAAAGGAAGTTCGTCACGCTCTTGTTGAACCGCGATTTTGAAAAATTTAAATATGCTGGAATCCGGGGCATGTATACTGGTGAGCATCACTCCTTCCTCTAATCAGAACAGCTTTTTCTGATGTTGAAATGCTTTAGATACGCTTTTACAGAATCCAGCATGCTATACCATCATTACCATGGCCAATTGCCTTAAAGAATTTCAACAACAATTGAGAACATGAAGAGTCCAAGTTATAGCTTGGCATCAAGCTGTTAACATTCAGACAAGGAAATATATTTATGAAAATTTTATCTGCAAAAATCTTTCTACGGCAAACCCACACGTATATACACTCTCAGTTGTAGGTAGTTTACGAAAGTATTTCCAATTTCAATCGCATTTTGAGTGGGAGAAGATTGAGTTAAATTAAATGAAGCGGGAAAGTTTGGAATTTTAGGAATTTCACCGGAAGGGTGATTCATGGCAACAAATAAAATATAATAGAATTGGATATAGGTTACTTTAAAATCGTTCCCTTTTTGCTTGTGTTTGGTTATTTTTAGTTATAATTTTATATTAAGAACAGAATAAAAGCATAGTATAGTTTTTTTAACGAGAAACTGGAAAATATGCCAGGTTCTAAATCAATGACCATGCACAAAGAGTATCAAAAAAGCTGTCATAATAATGCGAAGTTCCCGTTGGTCTAACTGTGCAGTGTGACTCTGGTGTTTAAAATGGCGTCAGTTGTTTTCATCATACGTGTACCATACTACGAGGAAAATAGTAAAAGCTTGAAAAGTGAGTGGGACAGTGAATCTGAAAGCTCAGAAGGGAATAAAGAAGAGGATATCAAACGACAAACTGATGATCAAAATGTCAAAGAGGTCACATTTGAAATTAGTGAGAATAAAACAGATAAGGCTTTTCATCAGAACCAGGCTGAAGTATATGGTGATACTAGTGAGGCAAATCAGACTGTAGATGATATGGAAATGTTTACTGGTCACCTGAATTTGGCCGAGGTATTTAATACTCGTATACGGATTTGTGAAATACGTTATGAATATCATGCACTGGCATTTGATTACTGTTACTCCGTTTAATTTGCATAATTTGTTTTGCATAATCAGAAATTACAACTAATTTCGTATAAAAAGGTGCTGTATAAATGCATGCCTTATGTATGTATAATGTATTCCAAACTGGTTTCTTTGGATTTTACATCATACTGTATTCCGGACTTCATCATGTACACCGCAATGACTTATGAACTCTTAGTTTGCGTACCTGCATGAACCACAAATACTGTACATTGCCAGTGTATCACGGAATTCTAGGAATGGGTTTCCCGTCTTCAGTTTTTACTCAGATCTTTTTGGATCCCGCTTTACCCTTCGGGGATACGCTGCTTAGTCCTTCCGGCGTGGTTGTCCATTAGAGAGGTTCAGACTTCCACTACTCACTACCACTCCCTTTCACGGACAAAAAGTACGGATCTGATTGGTTAATCGGATATATTATTAAACGCTTTTGATTGGTTAATGAGCTCTTAATGGTAGCAGCTGTGCATGTGGTAGTGGAAGTCAAATCTGCATGAGCCTCTATGATGGACCTGTTGTAGGGACCAGGAGGAGCGGATCTGGTCATTGTACTAACCCAAATGGGGCTGATCATCACCTGCTAAACATGAACCCAATTATATTCATGAGGGCCAGCGCTCTCCCCATGACGCATTGTGGCTAAATAGATTAATCTAGCTACTCATATCAAGTCTATCAACTGTCTTGTTTATTCTTATGAAAGGTCCTACAAAATGAACTGAGATCACTAAATGTTCAAGGTGATTCATGGACAATCACAAACGACAAGCAGTTTCATCAGGTACAAGTATGTTAAGTTGCAACAAATCATGTACAAAATCCTGGTGGAAAATCTTAAGCTAGTCCTTTTGTGTCAAAACACAATCCTACTACCAATTCTAAACCTACCCTAATCTTTTAGGTGGTATTCTTAGAAAAGACTGGTGAAAGAGTTGAAAAATTTTTGGAGAGATTAACACATGTTGGTATTGGAAAGAGACCAAAATCATCAGTAAGGTATTGTTTTCTGGAACTTTTAGTTTTTTTTAGAATTGGTGGCACATTGAGTGTCTATCACCTTGGAGAATTTACCCCCTTGCTGCAATCATCATTTTAAGTGATTTTACGTCTTAGCATCATTTCCACATCTGCCCACATTCAACCTCAAGAAAACAAAAGGACAAGCTTAAGCCGGGTTTACCTCACACCTTTTTTTACCTTTCCTTCCCTGGAAAATATCTATCTATCCCCTCTCCCTTCTAAAAAACCAACATACCCAAGATGCAACATTAACTTGCATAATTTATGCTCTTTAATTTTAAAAGCACCATTGTATGATAATCAATTAGCACCATCCCGTCTAAATTCTGTTCTCAGTCTGACCCTCACCCCTCTTTTCTAAGATTCACTCATCTCCTTCTCATTGTTGATGTCATCATTTTAAGTGACTCTATGTTTTAGCATCATTCCCACATCTGTCCACATTCAACCTCAAGAAAACAAAAAGAAAAGGGCTACAAAATGTGAAAGTATTCTCACTACAGAATCTGAAACTGAACCATTACTTAGTTTGTGAGTTTAATTAATATTTGCATTTGACAAGTTACTTTATTGTAAAACTGAACTAACAATTACTGTGGCATTAAAATGTAAAATATTTACAGTGAAAAGGAATCTATAAAAGACCAGTTCAAAAAGTCGATAAAATCAAGATTGACAGTAGAACAAGTGAGTGTGAAGTCTGTGACGAATATCAGTTTCTATCTCATTTTTTTTTGGTGCGAAAATTTTGCACTACTAATTTTGTTTTATTACATACATGTTTAGGTTGTGGAAAGTGTAAGAATGCAAGCACATTTATCTTTTGATTTTGTGATGTTTACCGTGTTAGCCAGGTGAAAATTTTTAGTCTTTTTATCAGTACGATATAATTATAAATGTCAACTTAGCAATGACAGCACTTTGTGTACATATTCTATCTGTTATTCTGTTTTCTCAATATATACAGTTTGATAGCTGCAGTTGGTTTAGCTGAAGACAATGCATGCTGTGGTGATGGTCACCGGTATATTAATATCACCACTTATGGTATATGCTTCGATGTGTTGATGAATTCATGCAAGTGAATGCTGTTTTGGATCTCAAATTGCGTATCTTTCATTTTGTAAAAATTTTCACTCGAACATATGTCTTAACTATATGTTCATTGCAAGTAAGATATTTTTCAATAGGGTCCAATTCTTGGTGGAACATTTGGGACAGTTTATTTATTTTTGGGACAGTTTATTTAAATAAATAAATAAAAAGTAAGATATTTTTCAATAGGGTCCAATTCTTGGTGGAACATTTGGTACAGTTATAAAGAACAAGAGCTTGAGAAATACAGCACTTAAAACTGAACTCTGCGGTTTATTTCTTTCAGTAGTTGTTGGTACAGTTTGCATTTAGTCTATTTTGTTGTTAAACTTTTACAAACTTGACAATTTAGATACTAGTTTACAAACAACAATTCACAAAAAAGCTGATCAGTTGCAACTTTGTTAGGATTTCTGTTCGGTTTAATTTGTGGACCGTTTGGTGTAAACGGTGCATCATGGGATAACACGAAGCGTATTTGGCCTACAAATGAAATGACAAGCAGGTGAGACATGAGTAGTGATCATTCCTTTCAATCGCGTTGGCCCGTGCAAGTGAACAAAAGCAATCTCAAAAAACCATGTATCATAGAGTACATTTTCTAATATTATTTCCACTTTTGAACAATTAAAACTATTAAAAAGTGTTGAGATAAAATGTGTCAGTCATAATTTATTTCAGAAGTCAACTGAATAACATATTGCAATCCATATCTTATTTCCGTTATGTATGACATCGCAATATCATATTTATTGGTGTAGGGGTATGACTCGTGCTTTGTGGGTTGGTGTTTGTATCGCGTTACCATCAGGTGCTGCTGTTGCGTTATCTGTGTTGGGTGGTAACACTGGTTCTCTGGTGGGTGTGACAATATCCGCCTCATTGTTGGCTCCTGCAGTTAATTCTGTAAGTTGCATGGTTGCCGTAGTTTTCACCTAGGGATGAACAGTGGCAAATAAAATATTGTCTACATTCATTAACACTCGATGTTTATAACAACTATTTTGACGTCGACAAATCATGAGTGCTGTTGAATGTGATTGGCTTCATTAGTTGATCAAATTGAATGCACATGGCAGACAAGAAAGTTTTACGTGAGACAATGTTTTTATCTGCGCGCGAATTCGAATGTTTCATCCTGATGCGATGATAAAGGCGAGACGGTACATCAAAATGAAATTTTAGGGAGAACACCTGGAGAATTGGGGAATTTTTAAGCATGAAACATTGGACCATTGCACATTCAAATCAACATGTTATCTATGTTTTTAGGGGATGTTATGGGCGTGTTCTATTATTTCTGCTATAAAACCTCCCGAATTGCTGTACAGTGGTGAATTCAATACGTCAACGGTATAACTGAAATAACTTGTAATATATATATATATATATATATATATATATTTATATATATATATATATATATATATATATATATATATATATATATATATATATATATTACGCTCTATCTATATGGTATTGAGCACTGTTTGTGTTTCGTAAACCAAAATCTTAAGCTATATATATATATATATATATATATAACGGGAACTTCTCATTATATCACGAGTGACCGTGTTGTGTGAGATATAGCTTGTCAGTTGTGATTTGTCTCGGCAAACGTTTATACATTCTTCAATAATTTTAAATACATGAATGATTATATAAGTACTTAATGTTTGTACAAATCAGCAGAATTTTCATGGCACCAGAATGTGAGAGAAAATAACCTGGGTACGAGGTTGCGGAATTTTGTATCAGATATACAAACTCCTTCATTTGCATGATTTCCGTTGTGTTTTCTTCATGAATGTTAATGAGAAATCCAAGTACTAGCTAAAATATGAGCAACTGCATCTTTATGGGCATTTACAAATGGCGAGCGCGCAGCGTGCGCCATTGTTAAATGCCCTTAATATGGTTTACAAATGTGCACAAGTGACCTAAATATCGCGTCGTGATCTATTTGTAGTCTTACGCCACGGTATTCATTATTCATGAATTTTACAAGTACTATTTAAAAATTGTCACAACTATGCATGAATTAATTCCATTTTGTACTTCAATTCCATTCCATCTTTTTTCAGTTAAAATGTCCACCGCTCAAAGATAACGGTTACACACCTACCTACAGTTGTAACATGGGGATGGAATCCGCTATTCTGGCAATTATAAGTTTGGTTTTGACTGTTGAAAATATAATATGTATTTTAATAACTGCTACCCTTGTTTTAAAGGTGAATACCAACTTTTCTTCTTATTTTTCTATTTTTCTTTGTTTATTCTTTGTCTTGTTGGCGAGTTTCAGTAAGTTTTACAAAGGACATAGCTGAGACTACTGCGTCACTATTTGAAACATGAGCAGCATGTGTTTTATCAGATATAAAGATACGAGGCGAAGGCGAGTTTTAGGTTTAGGTCTGATAATGACACAAACTGCATGCGAATGTTTTAAATTGCTTCAAAAACGATCTAGTACCGGTTCATTGGCGAAGTAATTTTCAAAAAACACGTTTGTAAGTCGAGAAAATCAAAGTTAATGTTTATGTAATGTAAATCGAGGGTAAAATCTCTATCTATACGACATTTATAATTTTTCTTTGTGTTTTCCTCATGAATTATTTATTAATGAGTTTTTGAAGTACAATATTTAAAACACGCTGAGCAGGAGTGCTTTATCATACATAAAACATCTGATAAAGCACGAACTGCAAGCATTTTAAATGGCTTAAAAAACGACCCATCTAAAGAATTAATTACCATATTGGCGAAGTAATACGTTGCCGAGAAAATCAAATCTAAAGTTTGTACAAACGAACATGATTTTTTATCACATATAAAACCATCGACACAGCAGTGATTTTCTTTGTCTTTTCCTCATTAATTGAGTTTTTTATATAATGTATACTGACTGAACTCGACTCAACTGGAATTATTTCCTCATTGGTTGACCACCAGCAAAAGCTGTATTCACGATAATGCATGCATGGTTAAATCCATCTATACATATAACAATCACAGATGTTTTATTTATTGGCAGATTAAAGAGGTTGCACCAAAAGCATCTAGCTCTAATGCTACTCAGACATTCTGGACCAAAGATATAAAGGTTATAATATTCTTCATTCACAAATATCTTGATGTTGTTTGAATGTTTACTCGTCCTGCCCACCCCTCCTGAACATTGTTGTCAGAAATGGTTCCTAACAAATCCTCGGTCGTGGCTGATACAAGTAGTTACAAGTGCTCAACTAACTAAAGGTTAGTTTTTGGTGAGACCGAGAATAACCTGAGGACCTGGAGAAAGCCAGATAAACACACAGGAGAAAATGAGTCAGAGAACCACTCAAACTTGCACGAGTTTTCAAGTATGCCGCCATATTAAAACATTTTTTCTTTTAGGTAGCAAGAGAGGCTTACGAAACGGTCAATAAAAGTTGTCAGGCATACAACTTTCTTAAAGAGTGGAAAGTGAGTGTTGTAAAAATATAACATGTCAGCATGTCAAAGGTACATGCACCCTTTAACACAACATCCTTGCCTATAGAAAGACCAACAGGATATTAACATCTTTTGCCATCGTTTTTTAGAAAGTTCAAGATCGTTCAAAAGCAGGCTCACGAAACTCCCTTCAAGAGAATGAAGAGTTTGTAAATATAATCGAGGTAAAACAAGCCATTGCACTAAACAGCTGACAATTTTGATGTTTTCAAAATTGCAACAGAGAACCTTTTGACGTTGTGAAGTTATTCATGACCTCAATATCAAAGTGTTTTTGTGATGGAATACAAGTGTGTTATATTTTCCTATAGACGTTAAAATATGCTTACATTTTACCTATATACTAATATAGGAAGTAGAAAGAACGGAGGAATTTGAATCAGTGGTGAGGCGAGCCCCGAGAGGAGCACAGAACTTACATGTTAGTTGATCTTATAGTTTGTCTTTATATGTATGCTAGATAGCTGTATCATTCATTACTAAACAGTTCTTCCTGGAGGTCTTAAGTTCTTACCATCCTTAATTGATACAATGTCATGCTCCAAGAGGAAACCTGGACAAAAGCTGCGGTGTTTGATAAAGTAGATCGTTATCAACTTCGTACCCAGGCTATTTTTTCTCGTGCTCTGGTGCCACAGCCACCTGGGTACGAGGTTATAACCCCCAACAAGAGTCATAAGCAAGTGAGGTGAATTAAACTATGTAAGTGTATAATAAACTGCATATCAGTGCAGAATACTTAGAATCGAACTTCGATTTTAAGTCGGCTTATAATAACTGCGTGTGCGATCAACTACACGATGCTATAGTACCACCAATGATGGTATTTGGTTCGGTTTTTTCTAATAAACGAACTTCCATATTTGTAGAAATTTTTGAGACATGTTAAGAGGCTCGTATCGAAAGAGGAACCAGAGGACAGTACAGCAGATAAAGAAGCGATGATTTTAAAAAATACACTGAGAAATTTACAAACATACTATTCACTACATCCTACAGACAAAGCACACCAGCCCTATGTTAGCACAATATTCAGCGAGTCAGAAGCTAAACCGAAGAAAGGGGTACGAAAATTTCACGTCGTTGAGACAGAGAACCCACATCATACGTCTGTAGTTCGAGTTCAGCCACCAACTGATGATTCAAACACGTATTCTGTAACGACTGAAAGTGGAGTGTAGGATGGATAAATGTTTAGTTAAATATCAATGGTTAAAAACTATGACGTTAAGCATTGAGAAACGTACTGCCTAAACTATATACATGTTACTGTATGTCACGTCGACATCATGCAAATACATCCGCGTAATTTAGGCAAAATTGAAAGTGTATACCATACATTGTTGGACAATTTTATTTTAAAATTAATGCACGTCATGATCATATAACAATGAAATATAACTCATTCTGGATAGTCACTGCATGTGTTTATTTGTAAATATTATTGACTGAATTTCATTGAAAAATTTAATTATTCCCAAATCCGGAGCATATACCAGTGAGCATCGCTGTTTCTTCCTCCAATCAAAACAGTTTTTTTCTGATACTGAAATGCTTTTACAGAATCAAACATGTTATACCGTGACCAATTGCTACAAAGAATTCTAGCAACAGCCGAATGATCGAGCTAGAGGGTATGACGTGGCTAAGAGCATGGATTGAAATGAAGCGAGAAAGATTGGAATTTTAGGAATTTCAAAATATAATAAATTTTGAGAACAGGTTAGTGTAAAACTAGAAAACGTTGGATTAATAGAGATGCAACTATCTGAAAAATGAAAAGAGATCTTCGACGTTTCAAGCAAAGGTCCTCCGTCGAGGTAGTTGTATCCCTATCAATCCAAAGCTTTCTTATATTGGCACTAAACCTACACTGGAACGGCCTGTTCAAGGTTATACTGTAAAACTACTTCTTTTTGCTTAGTTTGGTTTGTTTTAGTTATTCTTTTATATTATAAGAGCAGAATATACGGTCATAGTATATTGAGAAACTCGAAAATCCAGAAACTCGCCAGGTTTCAAATCAATGACCATGCACAAAGAGGATCAGAAAAATTAACATAATATTTGACACATGCAGTGACAATGAACAGCCCACACAAGAGTTGCCATGGTGCATTTATAGTTGTGACTTTGATTTTTGAAATGGCGTCAGTTGTGTTTATGATACGTATACCGTACGAGGAAGGCCCTGTAACCTCGGGAAGTGATGGAGAACAGCAACCTGGAAGCTCAGGTAGGATTGGAAAACAAGGAAGCAGCCAGCAAACTGATGACAATGGTCGTCTTCAAAGTAAATATGGGATCAATAGTGATAATAATGGAAATAAAACCTATCAATTATCTTTCAAACACGAGAATAAGGCTGAATTAAGCGATAAAACTGATACAGCATATCGAAGTTCAGATGATATGGAACATTTAACTGGTCTTCTGAATATAGCTGAGGTGTGTGGTTTGACTGACATGCACATGTTCTTATATTTTACAATTTATCGTAAGTCACGCTATGTGCACCTAAATAAGTCACGCTATGTGCCTTTCACTGCTCTGAGTTCGTGGCTTCGATTCTCGCTACGGACTCATGTGAAAAGAGTCTGTCAACGCTCTGCCGAAAGTCGTGGGTTTTCTCCGGGCGCTCCGGTTTCCTCCCACAGGAAAAGTTGACAGGGTGGGAAATTAGGGTAAACATGCACATTTAAGAAAGTGATCACAATTGTTGTAAAGATAGCAGTAATCTAGGTAAGCGTACTTAATATAAAACGTATTTGATCATAGTCATAACCACATGTAAATTTGCGCTATAAAAATGTTAATCTTAACTATTAACTATAGATCTTAATAAACAGATTTCTTAGAAAACCTATAATTATTTGAAATATTCCAGTTAATTATCCGCTAGTGGGCACCCACGCAAAATGCAATATATTTATTTCCTTGTATAGGTTAGTTATCCGTGCACTTGTGTTTTCTCTTCAATAACGTTGGGTAATTTATCGATATAAGATTGTATAATTTAATATTGTATAATTAGCAATTACAGCTAATTTTGTAATGCAGCCTAGTCTAATATAACTGATTTGGTTAGCACTGAGTTGAAATCCTTCTTTGTCCTTAAAGGGCATATGACTCGAATATTGGAAGCGCTATTTTTTAGTCTAATTTGAAAGATCATTGAAAACTGTAGCGTAACTTCTTTGACAGATTTTTGTTTTCTTGCTTTGTTTTGGAGATATTTCATTTTGTATGATATGCAAAGGACCAACATTCTACGTCACATATGCATAATGACTTACTTTTAAATGTTATATAATTTTGTCACTATCAAATAAATTCGCTCAAAATGAATGATGAGCACAAGATTTGTCCACAACAACACCCATTTCTACTGGTTGTGTTTAGTCGTATTAAAGATATACAGGTTTTAGGGCTAAATCATTATGCACATGTGACGCAGAAAGTTGGTCCTTTGCATTCATACAAAATAAAATATCTTCAAAACGAAGTAATAAAACAAAAATCTATCAAAGAAGTTACTCTACAGTTTTCAATGATCTTTCAAATTAGACTAAAAATAACACCGCCAATTTTCGAGTCATATGCTTTTTAAAACTCGAATTATTATTTGCAAACAAATAATCAAAGTAAGGACTAAGGTGCATACTGCATGATCGTGGCTAGCTTGATGTCTTTTCTATTAATTTTATATAAAGACCCTACAAAATGAGCTGGAATCATTAAAAGTTCAAGACGCCTTTTGGACAGTCACAAAGAACAAGCAATTTCATCATGTATGTTATGTTACATTTTTTTATTCGTGTGCCAAGTCCTGGCAAAAATCTCAGTGGAAAATCCCAGGGTTTATTTTATTAATTAAGAAAAATTATCCCGATTTTATTTCTATATTCTAAAGTCATTCAAAATGATAATATGGAATGTTTACCCCATTTTTACACCAGGAAGGTACTAAATGCCATTATATATATGGCCTGATTCTAAATTAGGTGGTATTCTTAGAAGAGACTGGTGCAAGAGTTGAAAAAATTTTGGAGAAGTTAACACATGTTGGTATTAGAATGAGACCAAACACATCAGTAAGGTATTGATTTCTCACTTTGAGAGCAGCTGCGTGGTGGCACAATTAGAATGTACCACAATGAAAAATATGTAACTCCTCCTTGCTACATATATAAACTAATTTTTGAAATCGTTTTAACGATTGTATGTTTTAGCATCATTCCAACATCTGTTCACATTCAACCTGTAAATGTTGCAAGACGAACGAGTTCAAAAGGTGACAGCGTTCAGAATTCTGGAGACGAAGCCCAAGCATTACTTATTGTGTGAGTCTATTAAATATTGGCGTTTTAAACCGTTGCATTTTTGTCAAATAAAATAGCAGTTAATCGGTAGTGAATATATTTGCAGTAAAGAAGAGTCTCCAAAAGACCAGTTTAAGAAGTCAATAAAATCCAGATTGACTGTAGAGCAAGTGAGTTATTTTACAGAATCGCAAACGTGTGAGAAATGTGGTTTGTACCATTACTTCTACACGATGCGAGTGTTTTTAATCGTCTGAAACCACAAGACCATTTTTTGTTTTATTGCATTTTAGGTTGTGGAAGTTATAAAAATAGAAGCACGTTTAACATTTGATTTTGTGATGTTTACCGTCTTAGCCAGGTGAGATTTCTCATACTTTTACTGCAGTGACGATATTTTGTACACGGTTGTGTTGCAGAATTATTCTATCTGTTTTCTCAATACAGTTTAATAGCTGCAGTTGGTTTAGCTGAAGACAATGCTGTGGTTCTAGTTGCCAGTATACTGGTATCACCTCTTATGGTAGGTGCTTCGATATGTTGGTGAATTCATGCAAGTGAATGCTGTTTGATCACTAATGGTCTTACTTCATTTCAAATTAGTAAACGAATAAAAACGAATAAAAGTAAGATCAATTTTTCATTAGGGTCCAATTCTTGGTGGAACATTTGGTACAGTAATAAAGAACAAGAACTTGAGAAATACAGGATTGAAAACAGAACTCTGCGGTTTATTTTTTTCAGTAGTTGTTGGTAAAGTTTGCATATAGTTTATTTTGTTGCTAAAACTTTTACAAACCTGACAATTTAGAAGTTTAAAAAACAATTTACAACAAAAAGCGGATTTCAATTGCAACTTTGTTAGGATTTGTTTTTGGTTGTATTTGTGGTCCGCTTGGTGTAAATGGCGCGTCATGGGATAACACGAAGGGTATTTGGCCTACGCAGGAAATGAGTAGCAGGTAAGACATGCATGAGTGGTGATCGTTCCTTCAATCGTTTGCAATTGGTTCGTGCAAGTGGACAAAGGTCATTTCAAAATCATGATCATCAGTTAGCATTTCAAACCATGCATCATAGAATACATTTTCAAATATAATTTCCAATCATAAACTAGTCTTGAACAAAAGCATTAAAAACATTTGGGACAGTTATAAAGAACAAGATTTTGCGAAATACTGGATTGAAAACTGACTACTCTCTCAACTGTGCGGTTTATTTCTTTCAGTAACAGTCAGTAAAGTTTGCATACAAATTGTTTTGTGCTTTGTATTTATATATAACTTGTACTAATTTGCAACTTTAGGATTTTCTGTTCGGTTTTATTTGTGTTCGGAAGGGTGCTTCATGGGATAGCGAAGGGTATTTGGCCTACACAGGCAATGACTTAGCAGGTAAAACTGATACATAATGATGATCGTTTGGCCCGTTTCAACTGAGCTGCGCTAAATTGTCGATTTAAGTTATAAATAAATAAAAGGCAAATCATTAAAGCTATTAGAAAAGTATAGTGTTAAAATGAAAATGCACTACCAGTCATTATATTTTGAAAGTGAACCGGCTGAGGATTTTTCTATTCACATACTGCAATTCCGTTATGTATTACCATATTGGTCTAGGGGTATGACCCGTGGTTTGTGGGTTGGTGTTTGCATTGCGTTACCATCAGGTGCTGGTGTTGCATTATCTGTGTTGGGTGGTAACACTCGTCCACTGGTGGGTGTGGCAATATCTGCTTCATTGTTATCTCCTGCAGTAAATTCCGTAAGTGCCAGTTTGCTAATGTTCCTTCGTTTCTACGATTTAAATGAATATTAAACATAAGATTAATGAAGTACTAAAATTTTATCTTTGTATTCAGGGGATGTTATGGGCTTATTCTTTCATTGCTGCTATAAATCCTCCAGAATTACTAGACAGCGGTGAATTCAATACCTCAACGGTATAAAATAAACTGTGTGTAATTTAGCTAAAAACATGTATTCCATGTTTTCATATCCTTCATGATCACTGGATAAATTTTGATGCAAGTCAATATTCTATTTTGTCTAGGATTAATGTGAACCCTTTTCATTTTCGATAAATTTCCTTTCCAGTCAAAATGCCCACCGTTGAAAGACAATAGGTACATGCCTACCTACAGCTGTGACATGGGGACGGAATCTGCTATTCTGGCAATTATAAGTTTGGTTTTGACTGTTGAAAATATAATCTGTATTTTTATTACTGCTACCGTTGTTTTAAAGGTGAATGCCAACTTTTCTTCTTATTTTTCTATTTTTTAAGTTATGTTTGATATAAATGTTAAAACCTTGAGAGTAAAGTCAATTAAACGTCATCTTTCAGATTTAGATCGTTTAGATAACTGGCTGCGCGGATGATTCATGAAAACCATGCACTTGCTAATTTACAGATAAAAGAAGTTTCGTCCAAAGCATCTAGTTCTAACGCTACTCAGACATTCTGGACTAAAGATATAAAGGTTATATTATTTCACAGTAGATTTTTAGTTTCACTGCATCTAGTTCTATGTGCGTGCAGGCACATAATCTAGAAATTAAGCGAGCTTTTATTAATCTTATGGAGTTTTCAGCTGTGTTGGTTCAGTTGCAAGAAGTCATAACCGAACTGCACGGTGGTCAAATTTGTCTTTTAGTTTTGGTGACCTCGCACTTTGAGACGTTCACTGCACTTCTATAGGTTTGGCTGGCAGACCCTTACATGGATGCTGATACTAACATCTCCGTAGGCGTAGGGAGATACTCACTTAGCTTCCCCCTAAATTGTCTATTACATTTCTTATAGGTAGCAAGAGAGGCTTACGAAACATTTAAAGGCAATAAGGCAGAGAATTTATTGAAAGAGTGGAAAGTGAGTGTGCTGTTATAAAAATATTTTCTCAGTAACTTACTGTATGTTACTGTATGTGAAAGGTCCAGCCGCACCAGTCAACTCCGCATCCTTGGCCTGATGTTCCAAACACTAATATCATTTTTCATTGTTTTACTTATGTAGAAAGTTCAAAAAGGTGCAAAGGGAGGCTCGCGAGATTCTCTGCAATCCAATGAAGAGTTGGTAGACATGGTTGAGGTAAAACAAACCATTAAGTGACTGAGTCCTGAATTGTCCCTAATTTAAGATAAAATACCAGAATTTGATAGCTTGAAATGTTTCTATACATTTTATTCATACAGGAAATAGAAAACACAGAAGAATTTCAAACTTTAATTAGGCGTTCCTCAAGTGGAGCCCAGTACTTAAATGTAAGTTGAACAAATTAATTTTGTTTTTATCTTAATTCACTGCTAAATTGTGATTAATTGACTTTGTAGAACTACAATTGTATAATAGAAAGGACTAAACTATTCTACCTATAGTTATATATAGAGGTTCAGTCCAGTTAACATATTTTATTGGTTCTAAAATATTATTCCCAGAGATCCGGAGGAAAACCAACCCTCCTATCAAATGGAGGTGAAAAAGCTGTATAAAAGCCACAAATTGCACTATACCATTAGTAAAGAAACGGTCGGAAAGATAACGGATATAAGTTAGGTAGTATTAAACACAAGTATAGGTTAGCTTACAAATGAACTCTATATTTGCAGAAAGTTTCGAGAAATTTAAAGAGACTCGTATCGAGAGACGACCTTGACAATATAGCAGATAAAGAAGCGATGATTGTACAAAATCAACTGAGAAATTTACAAACATACTACTCATTACATCCTACAGACAAAAGCCACCAGCTTCATGTTAGCAAAATATTCAGCGAGCCAGAAGATAAACCGAAGAAAAGCGTTCGAGAATTTCACGTCGTTGAGACAGAGAACCCACATCATACGTCTGTAGTTCGAGTTCAGCCACCAACTGATGATTCAAACACGTACTCTGTAACGACTGAAACTGGAATGTAGGATGGATATTGTGTCCAGTTCTTAAACAGATCATTTCCGAGTTACGCTTTACTTGTGAAGAAGAACAACGCCAAATTGAGGCTTCGTGCTAAATTTTTTATAGAAACATTACAATTTAAAAATAAAAGATTCAATGCTTAATTAAGCATCGAATAAACTTAAATCGAAATTGGTAAAAATAACAAATTAAACAACATCATTCGTCATGTACCTGCTCAGGCTTTGACAAATCCGTGTTAAATGATGTAAAATAATGAAACAGAACACAAAAGTGAAACAATTATTGGAATTTCTGTTTAATACGCGTTTTAGTTATACATATACCATTAATTAATACAGTAAAATTCTCACTGCGACAACGTACATAATTCTGGCTTATTTTGAATGAAATTTCAAATTCAAATTACTTGATGGTCATGATCATAAAGCTGTTTGGTATCTTCGGTGGTATCTCGGTCAGGATCCACTTCTAACTCACGAATATCAATATAAGTAAGTTTCATTTAGTCTCCTTTGCAGCCTGTTCGCGGGTGCCTGCGAGGTTTAAACTTCGCACCCGCAAACAAGCTGTGAAGAAGACTAGGTTTCACCACTAGGTTTCACTAAGAACTATCGTGCAGCAATCTTGGTAGCCAATTGGTCGTTATCAGAGTAACAAAAATAATATAAAGTAAATTTTATTTTATAAAATAATCACGCATTTGATGGAAAATATTTTATGAAATAATCTCCTGCCTTTAAAGGGTTCTCTGGCCCGAAAACTTATTAGACACACTAACTTCATTAGTTCAGTTGTATCATATGAGATCAGTGACTATATATATCCGAGTTATATCAAATTTCATTAGATCAGTAGGAAAATCATTTTCACTTAAAAACATAGATTTAGTCATTTAATAAACGTAGATATACCCCATAGTCTGGGTATGTTTATCCCCTTGGTCGGCCCCACACCCCGCCTCGTTTCCACAGCTCGTGTCCGCGTTCCGTCCGCACGAACTCCCCTCCGTCCCAAAACCAATGTAAGAGTCTGGGTCAGGACAACCGGACTTTTCATCCCCTATTATTCCGATCCTCGCACCTGAAGCCTTTGTATAAACGTTGATACCTTGTTTTGTGCATGCTGTTTGCAGAGAAGATGGATAAGGGTAAAGCAAACCTTTCCAACTATTCTTGATGTTTAATGTCGTCTCGGTGTACTTGCCTGGCGCGATCAAGTCGTAAAGAGATTTGGCTAAAATGAAAATGATTTACACGTCATTTAGTTTTTAGTAAATCAAGGAGCGATAATTCAAGATTTTTAGTCGTACGTGACTGGTACGCCATTGCTTAATAGTGCCCGCATACTTGCGCTGGTACAAACTCAGTACTCAATATGTATAGTCATTCTGTAATGTAGTCTTAAGGTCAAGACACACCGGACGCGAATCGACAACGCGACGCGATTTTTTAGTTTTTGAAAGTTAATAAAGCAGCCAATGAGAGCAAATTTTGAAAGGTATGTAGACCCAATAACTCAAAATGTTATAGCGCTTCTAAATATTTGGAAAATTTAATCTAGGCCAAAGTTATCGTTCAATGAAAATCGAAAAATCGCGTCGCGTTGTCGAATCTCGTCCGGTGTGTCTGGAGCTTTACCGTCTTCAGTAAAATGAAGTACATCAGTGTTGAAGTAGACCAGTGTACTGGACGTTATTTTAAATATATTGGCTCCACCCAATCATAGGACCGCTTGTGGAGTTAACCTTCCAGTCACTTATACAGTTCAATGATACATACCTTTTATATCAATTTTAACTGATCGAATCCTCCAGGTATTAGGGCGACGCATGCGCACACAAATACTTTCAAAAGGCGTGCTCCAGTATGTCGCAAGCTTTGTCTGAGTGTAATCGCAACCTGTTCTGCCATTCTCAGGCTTAAACATTTCTTTGTTCGTCCATAAAGGCGAAGAATACTTAAATGTGTTCTAAATTGAAAAATATGATTTGTGTATTGTATCAGTAGCGTTCTACGGTAAGGCAAGTCAGGCATGGTGACTTAGGGCGATTTTTGGTCCCGGAGTGCTGTAGCCTAGGAGTGCTGTAGCCTAGGAGTGCTGTAACCTAGGAGTGCTTGGGATTGAGAGATACAACTAGCTGAAAAGCAAAGGCCCTTCGAGTGAAGGTCGGGAAGTTAGTCGGGCCTTCGCTCGAAACGTTCAATTTGTGCTTATATTTTCCAAGTAGTTATATCCCTCTCAATCCACAACTGTCTTGTAATCGTCGCTACCTACACTGGTACAGACAGTTCGAGATTATGATGCAGTAAAATGCCATCAATGTGGTTTCTTTCTGAGTTAATAAAGGCACATGCAGTTTAGCCTTTTGAATGATGGTTTTTAAGGCGCATTACAACTAGAAAAATCAATTAAGCATAATTCAAAATCAGTCAGCTCAATGTTTTTAACATTAAAAAATTTAAAAATGTTATAAAAGCATTGAGATCACTGATCTTGAATTATGCTTAATTGATTTTCCTAGTTAGTTTTTTTCAATTAAAAGGACTGTAAATGGCGCCGCCACCATAACCTCGATGTTCTGAGCGAAATTTTAAACGGCCCTTCTTCATCTGGAAGCCAACTACTTCCAAAGCCTCTGCTTGAAACGTCGACATTTCTCATTGTGGGTCATAATTATGAGGATCCACAGGCTATTTCAAACCAACTCACCTTTCGTCCGTCTATTTTAAGAACCTGAGTTACACCGGCTGGACAATTATATGATCTTCTCATGATACAGTAAACGTTTTGCGCATTTCCAGAGAGATTTGTGTCGTTCACTTTGATATAATAAGTTCCACTTGGTGCATATCTAGGTCGATAGGAACAATAAAAATTCCGTGATTTATTTTATGTTTACTCAAGCTAGGGAGACAAATTAGGAAGATCAAAGATTGTTGAAACATTTCAAAATTCCGATGTTTTCACTAACCTGTCACGTTTTAGTATAGCTTTGCAAGAAACTGCTGGATTTTCCTTCGACCCAAGAGGATGAATCCCTAATAAATATCATCAGGTAAATAATTAAACCATCGCTAGCAATCGCTAGCAATCGCTAGTCGTCGTTTGTGTGCGAACTACAGGAATCAGTGGAATCGACTTGTTTTGGTGGAGGACCTTTGTCCATGTTTGTGTGAGAGGTGCAGCCAGGGGCGTAGGAACCGGGGGGCAGGGGGGCCATGCCCCCCAAGTTTTGCCAAGTGCCCTTTTTCCTGGAGCAAAGTGCCCTTTTTGTGCTTGAAAAAGTTTCCAAAAATTTGCATTTTTTGTCCAAACGAAAATTTTGAAAACTCCATCTATGTTTTTTTGCCGAAAAATGTTTTAGTTTTCGAGAAAAATATCATATATTGGTTTGTCCGGAAAATTTTTTTGTATTTAAGAAGAAATATGGTATGTCCGGAAAATTTTTTTACCCCTAAAATGGTACACTGACCGAAATTTTTTTGGCGCCGGGGGGGAGTCGCAAAAAAATTTTGAGATGCCTTTTTTTTTTGAAAGTGCCCTTCAAAGCCTGCCCCTCCCCCAACTTTTCTAAGCTATTCCTACGCCACTGGGTGCAGCGTCTAGCCCTCATGGAATGTTAGAACTTCTTTCAAGGTTAGAGATAAATGAATCAATTATAATCTGTAAATAAACTTACAGGTCATGAGAAAAGCAAGTTTTTGCTTTATGCCAACGAGCTAAAGAAAATTAAAATATAATATCATTAAAATATCGCTTAATTCAAATATTATTTGTTTCACTAAACGGTTCATTTTCGAGTCGCAATAAAAGCCAAAACCTCAATGCTGTCTACATGAGTAGTGTGTAGCGGGGCTTAATGGAGTTATGCAAATTAATTTGCATAACGATGACGTATTTTTCCGAAGGTTCTCCGATGATGATAAAACAACGAGGGCTTTCCGATTATTAATTTGCATAATCGATGACGTATTTTCCGAAGGTTCTCCGATGATAAAACAACGAGAGCTTTCCGATTAGTCCCCATTTTGTTTCAAGATGGCGGAAGGGTTAATAATGGCGGTTTTAAGGGAAAATAACATTGAATTGAGTGTGAATACTTTTCGTTTCCATTTAAAATTGCTTTTGGAAAAGCATGGGGGTTTATTTGAAAGCGTGATAGCTCGTATTGGACGAGAAAACGTACTTGAAAATTTGTGTGTAATCTATCAGGAATTAGACCCTTCAAATTTTGGTCGAATTATGGCTTACTTGACTTTAGTTTACAAAGTTAGTGATTTTTGTGAGCCTGAAATTGTGCAAGAAGCCGTAGAAGTCTGTGTATGGGAATTAAAACAGGTGGACATAGCTAGCTTTCAAATAAAACAATCTTGGATACAACGTTTAATTGCATGGTTACGCGACTAATAACCTGGCGAAATTTGAATATCACTAATCCGGGTTCAATAGCAAAAGTCATTAACTGTTGTACATGGCTGAACACATTGTACTTTTACTGCATTGCCCAGGCCCGTTTGTGCTGACTTAGCAAGAAGCGGTTGATTCTGCTTTTTTTTTTTTTTGATATTGCTTGTTATTTGTACGTCAAAGAGGGATTGAACAGAAATATTGTACCGAAGGCAAAGCAATGGAAATCCATTTCAGAAAGTGTCGGCGGTGTGAAGAATTTGGACCGAACAATACAAAATTACCACTTCATTATACAAGAAGAGAAAGTACGCTAGATTTTGAGGATTTTAGATGCGATAGATGTTTGTTTGAAATGGATCGACCAATGTTTGATGTACAACAAATAATACAAATGTGGAACATAACTTGTGAACATGATAAATGTACTCGGCCGGCAAACTTTTATAATTGTGGGCGGGAGTTTGTATGTTGTATTTGTTACGTGCGAACATATTGTCATATTCATTGTCGTGTATGTAATATCGCACATAAATGCCGGGACGATGATTGCGTTGAAACATTAGCAAGAGCTAGCAAAATGTGTTATTATTAAATGTATTACAAATGTGTTGAACCGGTTTTAAGAGTGAATATCACTAATCCGGGTTGAATAGCAAAAGTCATTAACTGTTGTACATGGCTGAACACATTGTACTTTTACTACATTGCTAACGAAGGATATGGAAAAACTGTCACTTATAGACTATTAAGAGCCTATAATTAAGCTATTAAAACATTGTTATATTAACCCGAACAGAACACTTAAATACATAGAAACCTAGTGAGTGAGTGAAATGTTGTAAATACGCTAAATGAAATATATCAACATTGTTTTTCCTTGAGTTCAAACAGAACTACTTCTTCCTAGTCGTCTTCGGCTTGTCTCAGCATA